CTCAATTTTTTTTAATTATTTTATAAAAGAAATTATGTGCTGTTAGTCAGTGACAATGCGGCAACAATTGAGAAAGAATGATGGCCGACAACTGCAACAATTAGAAAAGAATGATGGCCGACAACAGCAACAATTAGAAAAGAATGATGGCCGACAACAGCAACAATTAAAAAAAATGATGGCCGACAACAGCAACAATTAGAAAAGAATGATGGCCGACAACAGCAACAATTAAAAAAAATGATGGCCGACGCTACGTCATAGTGGAATAATAAAAAAAGCGCTTGTGAAATTATTGGGAGACCGAAGGTATTTACTGTGGTTTGAGAAATGATAATGTTGTAAGAAAGTACGTAGAACAATTCTGATACATACAAGGATCTAGGCCAGTCTTATTTATTACACACCCTGTATATGTAAAGTTACCTACTAACCTACTTTCTTTTAGATGTAAAAATTATTTTGATTTTACTAAATAATTACTGATTAGAACACAAGATAAGAAAAAAAGATGCTAAAGGGCGAATTAATTATGATAATTCCTAAAAAGTAAATATATCAGAATCAGTCGAAACCATGGTTAAACTGTATGCTACAAGAATACACATGTGTATTGTGTGTTGTGTGTATCTTATGCAATAATCAGCAAAAATAATCAAAACAATTCGTCCATTGTTTCCTGTTTTTTGTTAATATTCTTTTATATAATAGCTTAAAATAGGTAGTGAATTGTGCGATTTATATTAAACTTTAACTTAAAATTGCTGAACTGTAACATTTAATATTTATTAGTCTTATCTTACGTGGTTTATAACTGACTTGACAGGTGGTCGTTGTTTATTCGTTCAGTAATTTTGTGGTTAGTTTTATTATCTTATCGAAGATAAGTGTCTGATATCTGTACATATTATTCGAGAAGAAACCAATCTTTATTTCATTAAATTCCCAGTGGTAGTACTTTTAAATAATTCCAAATGTCTGTTCAAGGCCAATACAATCTTAAAAGTCCAGGTATGCAATTATACTTTTGCATTAGTTTGTTGATAAAATTGTTGTTGTGTAGGTGTGAAGCGATTAATGCGAGAAGCTCGAGAGTTGGCTGAACCTACTGAAGAATATTATGCCAGCCCCTTAGATGATAATCTATTCGAATGGCATTTTACAGTGAAGGGACCGGAAGGTACAGAATTTGAAGGAGGGTACTACCATGGCAGGATATTGTTGCCTTCACAGTACCCAATGCAACCACCAAACATTATTCTATTAACAGTATGTATTCTAGTCTTTCTTTACAATTAGAATTGATTTTATGAGTATTTTAACATCATATATATCTAACTAGTGTTCTGCCAAGCCCCCTGTTAATTATTTATTATTACAGCCAAATGGTCGATTTGAAACAAATAAAAAGATTTGTTTATCCATATCCGGTTATCATCCGGAGAGTTGGCAACCATCATGGTCAATACGCACTGCATTACTAGCATTGATAGCATTTATGCCAACACCTGCAGCAGGTACAATAGGTTCCTTAGAATATACCAAGGAAGAACGTCAAATTCTTGCCAAGAAGTCAGTGGACTGGGTGTGTGATACTTGTGGAAAGATTTCCACTAAACTGGCTACAGCCTCCTTGTCAGGCACCAAACAACTGACCAAAGAAGAGTCAACACTGATACAACAAATTGCTTTGAAATCTGAAGAAGAAACCGTCAAAAGCAACCAGAGAAAAAACAGTGAAAGTGATGTAAATATAAGGCAGAGAATACCAGTCAGTCGCAGTGAGTACTCTGAAGCCTCTAATGCAGATTCCTTACTTCAGACATCAATCGAGAGATCAAACAAGTAAGTTTTTCGTTTTTATTTAAACAAAAAGTATAAAGGTTATTTATATTTCAGAGATAAACTGTGGTTTGCTATTATTTGGACTATAATTACATTAATAACTTTGCTGGTTGTTAGGCGAGTTTTCTTTTTATAATGCCGTAATTTTCGTCTTTTTTTTTAACATAAATGTAAATGTTATTAACAGTTAGTTGCATCTACACCGTTAATAAAAGTATTAAGTTGTTAAAATTGATGTGATATTTTATAAGAAAATTAAAAGTTATTACCCATAAGACTGTAAATAAATCGTATATGAATAATTCATGGTTGGTTGTTAAATAAATAATTAGTTTATTTCATTCTTTTCTTTTTGTATAAAAAATTTTATTATTTGACTAGAAAATGTGTAAAATACATTTATTTACATTCGTATATATTATATAGTCTTAAGTACCTAATCATCTCTTTGCAAAGGAATTAATGAATGCCTTATAGTACATAATTACAAACAAGCTTCTAAATAATATATAAAATGATCTTAAATATATATTCTGATGCATATAAAAAGTTATTCTTAGT